TTATTTACTTTTATTTTTAATTTTTAATTCCCGACGTTTCGGGCGCTTTCCAGCACCCATGGTCACGGGGGACTGAGATGACTGACGTCCCGATGTCATTGTTAAACCCGGAGTACCTTCAGCATATTTAATTATTGTTTATGGTCCGATCTATGCAAAATGAACTGACTATGTCCTGAGGTCTTGCAGTGGTATGCTTGGGTTTAGTTTTAATTTTATTGATTATAGGATCCCAAGCGGGTGGTAGTACCCAGCCTCCTTCTCTATTGAAATTAGGATGTTTTTTAATTTCAATAGCCTCACGACCCAAGTATGATCCTTGGTAGGAATCGGTGTTCTTTCGCGAGGATTTGTGGTCTATCAAATCTGATGTAATGGTTGAGTCCATCTAGGATATGATCACAAACTGCAGACTTCCCGGAACGTTGATGCTTCACATCAGCTATATGTTCTTTTACGCGGGTCCTAATTGATCTTTTTGTTTGTCCTATATAAGAGAGACCACATTCACAATCAAGCTTGTACACTCCTGCATCTTGTAGAGGAATATGACACTTGACAGATGGTAGGAACTGACTAATCTTCTTCGGCGGCTTGTAGAATGTTCTAATAGAAGCTCGCTTCAAGATATAGCCAATCTTGTCTGTGACACCTCTGACATATGGTAGTACAGCAGGCACACGCTCGACTGTGGCCGGCTTCACTCGGTCACTGTGACGTAGTCGCGGGACCCGAAGCTTGTTGTCGTGCAGAACTTGCTTGACGTGCTGAAGCTCGGCGGCCAGGTGTTTGCTGTCACAGATCCCTCGTGCTCTCTGTAACAAAGATTTGCCCACGGTAGCTAACTGTGAAGGATAGTGAAATAATACTAGTTTTTTACGGAATATATCGCGTATATTTAACTTTTTTTAAATACCCGACGTTTCGAACGCTTTACAGCACTCATGGTCACGGGCAGGACTGAGATGTTCAACGTCCATATGTCATAGTTAACCGCGGTTACCATAGATTAAAATTTAACTTTTGTTCCGATCTATGCAGTATGAACTTATGGTATCTTGAAGTCTTGCAGTTGTATGCTTGGGTTGGGATTTAATTTTATTAAATAATTAGGATGGCTGGGTGCTAGGTGCTACCATCTGATTGGGATCCTATAAAGGTAGCACCCAGCCATCTTCTCTATTGAAATTAGGATGTTTTTTGATTTCAATAGCCTCGCGAATCATCCCTGGAAGGAATCGGTGTTCTTTAGCGAGGATCTGCGGTCTATCAAATCTGATGTAGTGACGGGGGCGATCCTGTACGTGTTCACAGACTGCAGACTTCCCGGAGCGTCGATTCTTCACATCAGCTATATGTTCTTTAACGCGGGTTTTTATTGATCTTTTAGTTTGTCCTATGTAGGAGAGACCACATTCACAATCAAGCTTGTACACTCCTGCATCTTGCAGAGGGACATTACACTTGACCGATGGTAAAATCTGACCAATCTTCTTCAGCGGCTTGAAGTATGTTTTGATGGAAGCGCGCTTCAAGATGTAGCCAATCTTGTCAGTGACTCCTCTAACATATGGCAGTACAGCAGGTACACGCTCGACTGTGGCCGGCTTCACTCGTTCACTGTGACGTAGGCGCGGGACTCGAAGCTTGTTGTCATGCAAAACTTGCTTGACATGGTGGAGCTCTGCAGCCAGGTGTTTACTATCACAGATCCCTCGTGCTCTCTGAAACAAAGATTTACCCACGGTAGCTAACTGTGAAGGATGGTGGTGAGAATCACCGTTTAAATATCTATCTATATGGGTCTTTTTTCTATACACAGTATGGCTCAAGGTGTTATCAGGATTCCGAATTACTAACACATCTAGAAAAGCTAAGGAATTGTTTGCCTCTAACTCCATTGTGAACTGAATTTTAGAATTTATAGAGTTAAGATGGTCTAAAAATGCAGTTACTTTATCTAAAGGTAGAATTGTGAAAGTGTCGTCTACGTACCGCTTGTAGAACCTTGGGTTTATGGGAGAACTAAGCAGGGCTTTCTCCTCAAAGTCTTCCATGAATATGTCGGCGACAATAGGAGATACAGGTGAGCCCATCGCCACACCATCTACTTGCTTGTAGAACTCCTCCTTCCACAATAGGTAGCCAGATGTAAGGCAGTGTCTGAGTAATACTGCATATTCTACGGGCATGTTGTTTTCTTCCAGCTTTCTAGTTACAATTGAGATGCAGTCTTCAACAGGTAAGCATGTAAACAATGACTGCACATCAAAACTGACCATAGTTTCATTGTCTGCCAGATGTAGGTCTTTAATCTCGCAGACAAAATGGTAGGAATCCTTTATGTGTGCTCTTGTATGTCCCCTGAGTGGTGAGAGTATTTTCGCTAAGTGTTGAGCCAATCTGTAAGTTGGTGAATCGATTTGGCTCACTATGGGACGTAATGGAGCATTGGGCTTGTGTATTTTTGGTAACCCATACAATTTTGGTGATTTGGCGCACGTAGGTATTATCCATTTTACGTCCAGATTTAATTTTTCGGAGTGTTTCTTTATGAGGTCACTAGTTGTTTTTAGTGTGCTATTTGTTGGGTCGTTTTTAACCTTTTTATAAGTACTTACATCCGACAAAAGTTCTTGTATTTTAGAATTATAATCTGACGTATCCATGACTACCGTAGCGTTTCCCTTATCTGCGCGGAGATTCGTAAGTTCGTGTTTATTGCGTAGTTTCTTTAACGCTAAAAAAAATTATATAATAGGCCCCACATCCATAGAATATATAAGTATTCTATGGATGTGGGGCCTATGATTCAGATTCGAAATTTGAGCAACGCAACAATATTTTCAGCGGTATCAAATTGATTGTGATGTCGAATATTTCGCAGCAAGAATAAAATTTATTCAAATAGCTTTTTATAATAGACAAGCGGCTATTGGCACTTTAATTATAATAAAGCAGTTACTGCACCTCTGCTTGGCAAGTAAAACCTGGTTTCTGCTTTATCGGTGTGTCTTTCCCCCAAATTTGATTTAACGACATAATATTTAATGAACAATAACAAGGAGATGATAATATATGTGTAAACTTATGCTGGTAATTTTTGATGAATGTGTTTACAGTTTACCTTTTTAAGGTTAGGCAAATCTAGGGATAAGAACTGTTAGACTTCATTACGTAGAAGGAAATATTTAATTAGTTTCCTAGAAATTCTAAATTAATAATTATCATTGGTTGCCGCGTATAAGTTTTTTTTTTTATTAATCATTGACAACACATATCTTATATTATATTGATCTATACGGTGACTAAGTGTGGTTGCGGAATGAGAGTATCCTCATTCCTCATCACGTCAAACGTGCAACCACCTATCCGCCTGCTAAACATAGCAATTATTTCAAATTCTTCAAGGGAGAATTCCATGACCAGCAGGGTTAGTGTATAGGTGTAAAGCAACCGTTGACAACGGATATTTATCCAAAGCAGCCGATATGCAACCGTTGTTAAACAGTTGTTTATCCGACTACAGACGAAACGGATGGTTATGTGTTTACTGTGTGTGTGTGGGTGACTAAGCTGAATCGCTTTTTGGCTTTTTGCAATGGTGCTTAAAAACTACTTGACCGATTTTAAAATTCTTACACCAATAGAATTCTATTATGACTGTGAAACGTAGGATGCATTTTATTATAGAGGGCGCTACTTTAAATGAATATGTTTTTTTTGCTAATCTCGAAAAGTAGATAGTTGACCGATTTTGAAAATTCTTTCACCGTTACATTGCTAATGAGGGCATTAGTTGTGTGATAAAATTATTTTATTAAAATAATTATTTTTGAAATTTATGTTTTCTAAATAAATAAAAGTAAATACCTACCAACCTAAGATGATCAACTCCAATTATTATTTTTACAATTTAAGAATCGTATTTACACACTTTACCTACTCAGGTTGATTGTTATACAAACTACGGAAATAATAAGTAATAAATCTCAAATAAAAGAGCTCCGCTTAAACGAAAAAATAATCAATAAAATAAAACTAAAAGTTGAAAAAAGTGGCCCAGTGCGAGTGGGACTGGCAAACCTATGTTAAGAGTTCCGTATTAATAAGCATAGATTCTACATCGGCATCATCATTATCGCCAGCAAAAAATTACTTTGTTTTTCATAGTGTTTGTATAAATGACAAAGTTGTATTTGCGGCACTTGAAAATGTACTACTTGTATCTCACAAAAAAATGGACTATTATACATTTACAGGGCTTTCTGTGGTTTATTCATTACCAAAGAGAAAAAACTTATTGCACAAAAAAAATGTTTTTATCCATTTCAAGCCATCAAAATCGGTTGTCAATCGTTGAAAACGAAGACAACCGTTGTTACGAATATCGGCTCGGTTGAAATCGTTGAACAACCGCCTTCACGTCTATACGTTAGTGTAAGGTAATGATAAATTATGGGACTATCAAAAAAGTACCAATTCAGTAAATTAGCGGGTGTGATAATCTACTTTATGGTAACTTATAAAATTATAATGTGAACTGTATACATATCTACCTGTATATTGTATATTGCCGCCAAATCGTAAACAAATGACGAATTAATAAAATATATACACAATAATGTTGGCAAAGAGCTCCATTTTCAAATTTTGATGTTTATTTTTTTATTATATCGTTTACAAGTGGCCGATTCTAAAAACTTCAGTGTCGCCCTCGTGTGTAGGCAGTAAGCAAAAATGTATTGCAAACACTTTTCAATTGCAAGTATAAATTGAACACGTTAACAAATTTTTAAACAGCTCTACCATACTCAATAACATTTTCTGACTTTGTATTTTTGGAAACTCATGAATCATATGAGTGCATATATTCAATTGTATAATTAAATTTATAATAAACCACGCTTTGAAGCCTAAGCAATGTTTAAACTTGCTTAAATCCATCTTCAAAAATGATAGCTTATCAATTTAAAATGTTATTTTTGTTTATTGTCAGTATGGAAAAAGTACAAGGACATCCGAAAAATTTAGCATGGAGCGGTGGACCTCTACATGTGGAATGCGAGCATGGTGTTGATCTTTGGAATAATGGTGGGAAACATATCAGGGAGAATGTGGTGGCAATCAAGGCTGTTTTATTTAAAGATGAAATCTACGTCATGACTCCTCGGTAAGTTTATGCTACACGGTAGAATATTACATTTTAATAATCCATTATGAATTTTTTTCTCGATTTATATCAACTTACATAGTCACTTTTTATAAATAAGAGATTTTTTTGCTAAAATACTGCTGCATAGAATGGTCTCTAGATCTCTAGATAATTAATGTACCGTAGAGTTAGTTTCAATCGATGTGGTGTTTAAGCGTCAATCAATCAATCATAAACTGAATTTTTAGAACCATTTAAACTATAGAAGGCGCGGTGTTGTGTCACCTGCTTCCATCGACTTTCTGCAACTCTTACCAAGTCTCTGCAACATCTAGTGAGGGGTCGCTCTACTCTTCAATTGCTGGCACAAGCCTGCCACTCGAGAACCTTTTTTCCCCATCCGCAATCAAAAACAAAATACTTTTAGAATACAATAAATTAATAAATAGCAACTATTTTAGCACCAAAATTCTATTTTGGTTATTGCTGCACCGCTTTTTATACGTCTGTCTCTATTTAGCCTGATGGTTGACTGGGAGGAAATGCCCTATGACATTAAGTCTGCCATATGTACTACTTTGTGCTTGGAAGGATAAATAAATAAACTATACTGCTAGCCTTTTAAAATTTTGACGCTGATTTAGTACATTTAAAAATCCAACTCCTAAAGGAGCTTAGAAAACCGTATCTTGTTCAAAAGTAAGACTTTATATCTCTTCTACAGAATTAAGCGTGGAGTGCTGGCGACACTATGGCTGATGATACGTGGTCGTCAAGGGGTAGAGCTTGAAGCTTTCCCAAGTGTAACAGCCCACGCGTTGGGTGACTGCGAAGCGTTGCAGAACGCAGTCGACTGCTATCTTGACCACTTGGTGAGTGAATTTCTTTATTCTGTGATGTTAGTGCTGTTCGCCTACATGATACAAGACTCGCAGCCTGATACGTCAGTGACTTGGAGCATTTATTCTAAATTATTTACAATAGAGGAGAAAGGAGGCAAGTATTTTAATTACATACATAATCTATACACCTATACAAATATATAAAATTAAAGTGTCTATTTGTAATGTCCTTATAACATATTTTTACTAAATGCTTACAAAAGTATTTTATTTTTTTTTAAGAATATTAACAATGCTATAAACATTACTAACAATCCCCTAAACCACTCGTGGTAAGCTTAAATTGGTTGTGTTACGAGTGGTTCACGCCAGTAGTGGAATGGCGGATTCGAACCCACTACCTTTTTGAGTTCTCGGTCCGCGCCCTGCCATTAGGCTACTGTCGCTTCAATAATAATATAATAAAGTATAATATACGGTTCTTATAACAAGAACCCAATTAAAAGAATTGTCTATCTGTCAGTTGGTCGGTCTGTCTGTCGGTCTGTTTGTTCGGGTAATCTCTGAAATGGCTGGACCGAGTATGATAAGAATTTGACTGGCAGATAGCTGATGTTATAAGGATTAACCTAGGCCACTTTTACTGTAAAAGACAATTATGGTTCCGCGAAAAAAAAAATGAAAACCCATCAAAATCCAACCATAACAAATTCCACACGTAGAATTCGTGGAGAACAGCTCTCTATGTATAATAAATTTATAGTATAAAATATTTTTAAAAACAAGCTTTTATTTAAATGCTCTTAAAAGAATAAAATTAACTTTAAATTATATGTAAACCATCAATTTATTACATTACACAATAATACGATATAAAAGCTTGTCGCGAGATTTATCTATTTTATTAAAAAAACACATATTTTTTTAGAATTACGTTATGTTGTATTACGTTTTGTTATGTTAATATCAAGTTACATACTGTATTCTTGTTTATGTACCTACACAGGGAAATCTCGCGACAAGCTTTTATGTCATTAAAACTTTATTTTCTTCTCTTTAGAGCTAAACTCTCTAAATATAATAAAAGCTTGTTGTAAAAATACTTTTTACTATGATTTTTTTAAGTTATCGCTGGACTTGTTTTCTAAGTCTCTTCATTTCAAATAATGCGTCTATTTTACGCTGGTATTCTGTGAAAGCCTACCTACAGTACTGCAGCCATGATACAGCTCCAACGTTGCTCTATCACCGCACTACCAAAGTACAAATATTAATGAATTCAAATATAATGATTTCTTATATTTACGCGAACACTACACATTGATTAAAACTACTTTTACGGATTTTATCGCGTTTATTTTACTTTTAATTACATTGTTAAACCCGGAGTACCTTCAGCTTTTTTAATTATAAAAGAAGTACTCCGGGTTTAACAATGACATCGAGACGTCAGTCATCTCAGTCCCCCGTGACCATGGGTGCTGGAAAGCTCCCGAAACATCGGGAATTAAAAATAAAAGTAATTAAAAGTAAAATAAACGCGATAAAATCCGTAAAAGTAGTTTTAATCAATGAATTCAAATATAAAAATATTGTTGGTATTAGACAATACTTCAGTCCATTCTAATCCGTTTTAATTCAGAACTATTTCACAATTATTATAATTTGCCCTTCTACTAAACAAAAAGTAATGGTATATTATAATATTATGTAAAATTTATTAACATTCACATGACCTCTATGTGTAGTGAATATGCAGCGTAAAAGTCATAATGATCATATTAATTTAGTTAAATATATTAAAAGTGTGGGTTCTAAAAGGAAAAAGTTAACGTAATTGCTTACACATACACTGTCACTATTACTACAGCTAATATACGCTTTTATTAAAGAAGCGAAAATGAGGGGAGACGAGTATTTGTATGGTGAAGCATCAAGTTACGCTCATCATTATCATCATCATCTATCGCCCTTATTATATAGCCCCTGTAATGTAACTGCCTCGTTAGCGTAGTTTTAGTAAATGCGGTTAATGTTCAACAAAATCAGTAATCTTTTTTAATTTTCTTCAATAACTCAGTAGCAGCACGGAGTCACAAAGATGGCGGTGGCTTTTTTATATAATAAGGATCACAAATGAGCACATAGATCATCTGATGGTACGTACAAACAGTAGCCCATAGATATCTACATCTGTCCTTGATCAAGAATAAAAACGCAGTCGCGTTGTCACTATTGAGGACTAAGATAAAATGCCTCGTTTCTTGTAAAAAGTGTCTCCAGTTCTTTACACTCACCATACAAAACACAGCAGCATTAAGTTGCTATTTCACACGGGTATTCTGTAAGAGCATGATCCTTCCCCGTTCAAACCAACCCATGGCTATACCATAGGTAGTAACAAAGTCTCACCCCCTTGTCTCAGAAAGCATATAAAGCAGTTAGTCCTGCGCCTGATCTCTCTCCGATAGCGTTGGATTGGAACCTTATCGGCCTAGTATAGGACAGAATCTTTTTTTTTTACCTTTTTAGAAAACGTTACCTCCATACTAGGATTTCCTCCTGTATCGTGGGGTTTACATACATAAATTTCACAAGGACAACAGGACAAACATCCAGACCCGAAACAATTATTTGCAGGCCATACCCATACTTATTCCGTGCGGGATTCGAACCCACGGCTCTTAGCGCTGCAATTCATTCCTAAGCCACTGCGCTACGATGCTTTCATTCGAATAGAATGGAATAGAATAGAATAGAATCATTTACATTGAATATAGAGTACAAGAATACTTTTTGAAAGTCATTAATAGAAGTATGAATACATAAGAAGTGCACCTTTGCTGGGGCATGGTTGATTCATCCGAGCACTCGTTTTCCCCGGCTTTATAGCATTCACTTATGAAACTCAGGCGAATTCTCAAGTGAGTATAGAGGCCATGGGTAAACGTACAAGTTTCAGTGTGACTTGCTAGTAAAATAGGAGAAGACGAGGGGACGTCGAGGTGCAAGTGATACTGGGAATGTAGGCAAAAACGTTTTCATGTGTTCACTGTTCACCGAAGTGCGACGAAATCGAAAAACCATTGGTACTTAGTTGGTGAAAGTCTGTCATAAACCGTTCTCACCCTTATGAGGCGGATAAACTGACGCATTTTCCATCAGTAAAAAGTGTCCCACAAGCTCCTTTAATAACCGAGTGCTTCACTAACTTATATTTATAGAAACTAATATTCCCATTTATTAACGTTTCTGTGGTTTTGAATAAAACTTTTTTATAAAAAGAAAAATAATGTTGTTTTTTTTATTTCACCAGAAACCGTAATCATCAGCGGTATTCTTAAATCAATTTCTGGTCACTCTCCGTTCCAAACATACCTACGCTGGCTAGCAAACATCACTAAATAATATGCTTATAACATAGCCGAAAGTACACCTGATATCTCTAGGACGAAAAACATTTGCATTGACTGCCCTTTTCGTCGACATGAGTGTGATGTAAAAGAAATTGGTACAGATATTGTAATATGTAAGTCCAAATAAAATCGATAGAGTCGATGCGAATTTAATGGAACCTAGCAGTGAGACAATGAACTTAACAGGTAGCCTTCATTGTATTACTTTCGTCTTGTTAAACAACACCGCCATAAAACGTTACTCAATGAGATCTCAAATTACAGAACCGCATATTTTAATGTTCAAATAGAACGAAAAAACGAAATTAAAGTTAGAACGAATTTTATATTACATTACTCTAAAGCAAAACAATTATGCATGTGCTCAAATTGAAATTATTGTACCTTAATAAAGACCTTGGTTATTTTTGTAACACTGTAAACTTTTCCGTTAAAATTGCTTAAATTTTTTTTTACTTTAATTACCTTTGTTACATAAACGAACTTAATTTTAGTTATCATTGTTATAATAGCCGCCATTAAAACGGTAAAATAACAAAACAAACGAGCTAAGACGAAAAGTTTTTTTGACGGATCCTTAGCATAGGGGCTAAGTATTTTAGGCCTGGGTTTGGCGTGGTGCGCCATGGCCTTCAAATAATTGTTTCTTATTTGAATGTTTGTCAATGTGCAATTTGTGTATAAAAACGGTACAGGACGTCAAGAAAATGATTTCTTAAATTTACGCGAACACTACACATTGAATAAAACTAAATTTACGGATTTTATCGGGTTTATTTAACTGATTTTACTTATTTTTAATTCCCGACGTTTCGGGCGCTTTACAGTACCCATGATCACGGGGGGGGGGACTGAGATGTTTGACGTTCCAATGTCATAGTTAGCCCAGCTACCTTCAGTTTTTTAATATTATTTTTCGGTCGGATTTACGCAAAACGAGCTTACAGTATCTTGAAGTCCTGCAGTAGTATGCTTGGGTTTAGGTTTAATTTTGTTAATTATAGGATCCCAAGCAGATGGCAGCACCCATCCATCTTCTCTATTGAAATTATGATGTTTTTTAATTTCAATAGCCTCGCGTATCATCCTTGGTAGGAATCGGTGTTCTTTTGGGAGGATTTGTGGTTTATCAAATCTGATGTAATGGTGGGGACGATCTTGAACATGTTCACAGACTGCAGACTTCCCGGAGCGTCGGTGATTCACGTCAGCTATATGTACTTTCACGCGGGTTTTTATTATTATTTAAAAAAAAACAAGTAAAATCAGTGAAATAAACGCGATAAAATCCGTAAATTTAGTTTTATTCAATGTGTAGTGTTCGCGTACATTTAAGAAATCATTATTATGTGAGCCGGTACGGACTGGTAATAGCAAATAAAATTCGCTGATTTCAATTTCTTGAAGAGATGCAGAGACCATAATCTTATTCCTACGTGTGTCAAAATATCAACAAAATAGGACATTCGAAGAAGCGCTAAGATCTTAAATCAGGCAAGTAAAAAGTTGTTACAAACTGTGATTCAGCAGAAACGGTTCGATCTACACTTCGTAAACAACACCATGGACAATTTGTCCAGTGAACTAAAGACAGTTTTAACGACATTTGATTTT